TTGTAATCGACGAAAACACCAGTGGAACTTTGCAACTGGGCAAGGCCCCGTGGTTTTTTCCCTCTTTTGGGTTTTCCACGTAAAAACCTTGGTGTTCAATTTCTCTTTTCTGTTTGTGTGCGAAATACTCGTGCAACGCTAGGACGCGAATTTATAAACTCTACCGCCACGTATATTCTCGCACGCAACAATGCTAGTGCAAAAATTTTAGTACAATAAAAATCAAATTTCATTCCCTTTAATTTTACATTTCTAAAAAATATGTTTTTGAATAAATCCAAACAACATCCAAGTTCATTGCCTCTCCAAGTCCACAACCCCACCGTCAACCGTGCTCACCCATCTCGTCGACCCATTTCCCGTTCTCGAAAGCTCCGACGACTCAGAACTACCTTCTTCTAATGCCCCACCACCACCGCCACGGCCAAATCTCTCCGGCATCGGCGGCTCAGCCAACAACTCCCCGAACTCAGGCTTAGTCGTCGGCTTGGCTTTAGTCCGACAAACCGGACAAGTGGAATGAGAATGCAGCCACGTATCAATACACTCAATGTGGAACACATGTTTGCAGTCAGGCAACAACCTCATCATCTGTCCTTCCTCCGCCACGCTCAAGCAAACAGCACATTCCTCTCTGCATTCATTCGCTGACGACCCTGCACGGTTAATAAATGTGGGCAAGGCAGCGATGGCCGTCGCATCGAGCCCTCCCGTCTCGGTGGCAATAGGAGGGGAACGCCGGCGACCGCGGTGGATTGTAATAACGACATGGCTGCGCCGGCGGTATCTAACATAGAGGTGGAAGCTGATGAGTATGAATATCAAGATGACGGCTAAAGCGGCGACGAGCTCCATATGGCTGCCGCTCTTTGTATTATTGTCGGTGAACGGCCATTGCTGGCCTTGATTGCTGTTCTGTGGTGAATAGGAAGACATTGATCGATCAGTTCCTTTCTTATGGAAATGGAATTATTTAGTTAGTATTTATTGGGGGTTGGAAGTGAAGTAGAGAATACGGGAGAAGAAGGGAGTAAAGGATACGGCTCAAACGTTTGATGACGTGATGGAGGGTGTAAGTCTAACGGGTAAATTTTGGCAGCGTACGTGCAAAATAAAGTCTGATAGTTTGCGAATAGTTTGTCGTTGACTTTGGTAATTTGTTGATCTCTTACAATTTTAATAAAAAAAATTGTTTAATTGCCTTTTTTGACTTGTTTTGGAGATGATATAAATAGTGAGCATTCAATATTATTTAAATCTGGTCAAACAATTTTTTATAATCACATTAAATCAGGTTAAAAAAAGTGATAGTTAAAGAGAATCATTTCATTATCAGGATTAAGTTGTCAACACAACTCATTTTGATATGTTAGTTGATAGCTTTGACTATCAATCAAGAGATCTTGGATTCGAGTCTTGTGTATATGATGTATGTGTTAATTTATCTTAATTAGTCTAAATGTCCAAAAACAAAAATTAATACGTCAAAAGATTTGATGATCTAGCTAGTGAATTCAATTTGTTAAAGCTATTAGGCATTTTCTTTTAGAATTCGAAGAACTTTTACTCAACAATGATATCATTTGAATTCATTATAATTGCTTGTTATTTGATATTGAGAATACTTGAAGCCATCAAGACTACTTGCCCGACTCAACAAAAGAAGTCATCCAAATCATCAAATTAATCATCAGCTAAACCACATCAAAGATAAACAATGGAATGACGACATGAATAATAGATAAATCTCAATAAAGAATCAAGATTGTATTACCATTAAACAACTAAACCACATCAAAGATAGATCAATAATGTCGATTCAAGGATTGTTGAGTAGTGTTCCAAGAACAACTCCATGTGTGACAACAACCAAATTTTAGAGCACTCAATTTGTTATCACTAATTAATGAGACTTTACCTTTTCGAGATGAGAGCTAAGACTTCCTAATCTTGAAAAGTTAAGAAACCTTGATAAAGTTATTGAATGTATTTTTGTGGAATTTATTGAGTTTAAAATAACTCCCATGGATTCATACAAGGAAAAAATATATTTGGTTAACTATGTTGCTTATTTTGAGTTGGTGACTTCACTTTTGAATATCAATTAGGCTTTAAAGTAGTATCTAATTTTTTTACTACAATCAATGAGTTGTCACTGAGATGGATCTCCTGACTCCCCTTTAGAAGTATAGCTTCTTTTGTCTAATTCAAAAATAATTTTATTAATTAGTTTAACAATCTCAAAGGTTAGAAAGTCTTAAGCAATTTCATTATACAATTTTAGCACAATTCATGATTCTAATTAATCATGATATTAAGGACTAGTAATACCTTTAAAATCAATTTGAAGAACTTTTCAAGGCTAGAAAATTGAAATCATTCATCCTAGCAGAAATAAGAAGAAAAGTTGACAAAACACCAATACATGATTAATGAAATGAGATGAGTTCCTACATAAACAATTCATATAATTAGATTAGCTCTAATATTCCAAGGAGGATAAAAGGTAAAAGCCTTGACACAAGTTGGTTTAAAAAGACTTGGATTGAGAGAGGTGAAGATAGCCATAACATCCATGTCTCATGTAGGATAAGAAATTCTAATTATCTTTACTACGCTGACGGGCTAATGAATCGTAATCCATATAATGATATTATTGTTAGCACTATTTTATTTACCAAGTTTTAATTGGTAGCATATTTATTGACATAAGAAATTTTATCAGTATCCTTCCTAAAAGTATATTTGATAAAATGAACCTTGATTTTCTTAGTTAAATTTCTTTATTGGGGTTCTTCATTTTTTTTTTGTAAATGCATCGAAATTGAAGGGATACTTATGTTGCCAAAAACTTCAACATAAGGAAAATATTAGTGCACTTTTGTGGACAACTTCATCACAATCAATGTTCTAATGACTTATAGTGTTATATTTGGACACCTTTTTCTAAATATGCCACACTAATATTAGGAGTAAACATTAATTCATAAACTTAATATATTAAATCTACAAAGTCCATTACATAAAAATTTTGACAAGTTTCTCTATCGTTGGCTGAATCCATTTGATTTGAAGTCCAAACATTGACAAAGTCTAGTTTTATCCAAGAAATGTAGTACATGGATTTGATCTCGAATGTTTTTATAGTATATAAATCAAACGAAAATGAAAAATGTATGTGGACTTCATAAATGAATTCACCTTACCCAAAGATAGTCATCCAATTTCATTAAAATTTTATCTGGTCAACTTTGTAGTTAGATTTATTATTATTAGTTTTTTTCTTAGCAATCATTAAATTAAAACTCATCCAACCTACTAGAAAAATATGTATTCTATAACTAGTAATGGTTTTTAATGACATAATATTATGAATTTAACTTGAAAATTGTAGGCTCAAATTAATAGATGGTGATGGCTTATATGTTCAAAGAATAAAAGGTTAGAAAATTAAATTCTGGCACTATAGGAAACCCCGGTATTATCGGCGGACAAAATCCGCCGGTAATACATAAAATTCGACGAAAATCCTCTGTTTCCAGTGCATTTTCGTCAGAATTTCATACGCCGGTTTGGCACGCATTGGAAAAAGTCCTCCAACGTATATTAGATGCCGGAACTCATTCCGACACACTTTCTGACACATTACTGGTGAAAATTGTATTAACAAAATGGCGTTTATTACCAGATTATTCCGGCATTATATACGCCAGAATTTACGACGTATGTATCTGCCGGAAACACTAGAGGATAAAACATCGTATTGTACGTCGTAACTAAAGCTAGGGCTTGTTACCGGCGAGTTATCCACCGGTAATGCCGGTTGATAAAAAACGCCGGAAATGATACATAAATTTATTGTATCGTCTTTCCGGCGAATCACAGACACCAAATCGCCGGAAACCTGTAGCAATGACAAAAAAAAATTGCCTTCCTAGGCAACAATCGGATTTCCACACATGCAAATATATACAAATACATACAATAATAGTTCCACAACACAGATCTACACATCACAGATCTCAAGAACTTCAACAAATACGTACTTAAAAACATAAATGTACATTAACAAAGACTGTTCAATAGCATCAACCAACTCATATTTAAAACATCACAGATTTTTCAATAACGCAGATTCAAAAAATTAAACAGGTTCATATGACATTGAAAAAAATAAACTACTCTGAATCCGTGGACTTATCCTTAGTTGGAACTACCTTTTTTCCACTGAACTACTCCATCATCTTGCACATTTCATCCAACAACTGATTGTGTTTCTCCTGCATCTACATTTGTATCTGTGCTTGCAACTGAACTTGCCAATCAGCTTGGATTTCCTTACTTGTTCTAGCTCTGCTTGAAGGGCACTGATTTGTTAACTATATAAGGACTCATGTGAATTGGCTGCAAAGCTGGATCCAGTAGAGGTCAACCCCTCGTATTCCTGAGCTTGCAAACCTAAACCATAAACCCTGCCATGTTGCATTCCGTCAATGTCTTGCAACAAGATGCAGTACTCAGAATACTCCACAGAGCCGCCAGAAGAACCCTCACTTGCTGCGGGCTAACTCTCTTGAAGCTGTGTATACTCCTCCTGTGAAAGTATAATATATATATTTATATAATTGAGACTAAAAATAAAAATTATTAAACATATATACTTACATAGGCTTTTCTTGCTCGCTCATAAATCCATTATTAATCATCCTGTCGCTTATGAGTGTGACTATGTAATTCCATAGGAGTTGGTTCTCTACCCAACATCTCTTTCTATAAGAGAATTCTATTAATATTTTTATAAAAAAAAAATTTAATTTTTTTTTAAAATTCATTACCAAACATCCCCTATGCTCAGTATGTGGAATGGAGCTGCTAGTATGAAGGGAACTACCCAAGCCCAGCCCCTAACATCAAAAGCTCTCTTCTGTGGATTTTGATCCCTCCTCCTACTATACTATGCACTGCCCCAAACAGTGTTCAACTCAGTCCATATAATTTCTCCAATCCACAATGGTTGCTTGCCAATCTTTTTAATGTCTGTGAGCATGTCGTGCATCCGAGTAGACCCACACTTCTCTAAATTTTTTTCTAATTTTATCATTGTGCTACGGAAGCCAACAAAAATCTTTCTACATTCAAAAACATATAATATAAATTATATATGTTTGTTAGCTTAAGTAAAAAATATTAAACCATTTAAATAAAAATATCTCAAACTCTTTAAACCACATTTTCTAGACTTCTTTCAGGACTTTCTTCCAAGAATTATAAGGAGCGTCAAACCTGCTCCGTATGATGTCCCAAATTTTATGTGTCGGTTGTTTTGATGGATAAAACCTACAAAAATAAGGTTATGTGAGAAAAATATATAATATAAAATAAATATATTTGTTAGCTTAAATAAAAGAGAATGTACGTACGTGCCACCATCAGGTTCTATCAACATTCGATCATCTATCGCTTGCTCTGGTGCAGCTAGTGTCGAAGGTTCACCTGTAGCAGGCTGTGGGGGTAATGCGAGATAGTATGGTGGAACATATGGTGGATATGGATAAATAGGAGGTGCACCAGCATAAGATGGGGGTGGAAAGTATGGGTAGAAAGGAGTAATATGTGTGGGATCTGGTGAACGAAATCGAGGGTCTGGTGTCACGACCCAACCCATCTAGAAATAATCCCACCATGTTGAGTCGCGACGGGTGAATCCATAATTTAGCTTTGGAATTTTTTTTCAGACTTTCTTCTAATAATTAGACATACATAAAAAATTATAGAGCTACTATAAAACATCCAAATATATAGACAAGCTCATCCATGATTTTCTTTCTTCTTATTCATCAAAATAATCATGCACATTATAGTGCATGGCTATAAACAGAAAGTACAGAATAGAAAAGCAGAATAGTCATGACCGTATAAAAATCAAAAGTGCAAAA